AGAAGAAGAAGTGGCCTTACCTTCTGGAGGGTTTTGGTCATGTTACTTGTTTTCATCTGCAGCAGGTTACCTAGAATGGGAAGGGGAGCTGGTCCTGGAGGCATCTTCCCCTTCCCAGACCTTCCTTTCCATGCTGCAAAGGAGAGCAGGCAAGCAATGCAAACCAGGAGGACAACAGTGGCTCCTCCCAGGAGCTCCATTTTCATCTGTGGCCCAGGAGGGAGTGACTCTGGCTGTCAGAATCTCAGTTTATATGCTGAAGGTCTGTGTTAGCTCAAGAGCAGGTTCTGGGTCACATGGCTGAGTCAGTCAATGTTTACTAGTCAATCATTTGTTAGATTGCCATGTGTTATGAAACTTTTATTGGTATTAATTATTCATTGAAGTCACACCTTTTCTCAAACAACTGCAAATGCCAACAGAGTTTAGGAAATCTGTAATGTACTCACATAAGTTTTTGTTTTACCTAGTGTTAACTGTTAAGGAAATCATTGTAGGGGCACACTGTCCTACTGAAGCACTCACAGATATTCACTGTCACAGGAGAATCTTCCAAGTACTTCAGTGACATTTGGGTTTTCTGTTCTTCCCTATTGATTGCACCAGCCCTCAGTGGTGTGAGCCATCCTTCATTGTTCCTGAAAACTTTCTGATGTTATCAGTAAAGTTCACACTGCATGTGATTTGCCAAAGGACATGCAACTGTGTTTTCCTCAGCAATTGCACAGCAACAGCCTCAGTCTCTCTCCCTAGGGGTGACTGGCCTCACAAGAGAGGAGAGTATAAAATATCAATCTGACAAGGCTAGAAAGGTCTCCAGACTTGACAATAGACAAGAAAGGACTTGCTGGCTGAGGCAAAATGAAGATGTCAGAAAAGGGGATGAGACATTGAGAGTCTGAGTTCTTCAAGGGCTCCTAGAGGAGAAAAAGAGAAAACCACAGAGAAGAGAGAAACCCAGAACTTAAGAGAGTCTCTGGGGAATGGCTTCCAAGCTGGGACAGAGATGCACTTTTCTGAGGTTTATGAATACAGACCCATCTCTTGATATGAGCTTAAATCTTGCCCTTTGGTTTCCTTCAAAGAGTGCAAGCAGACTCTGCTGAGTTCACGTGAGGGCAATGGAAGATGTTTAACTGCTGGGCTGGGTCCAGCTGGGCACTTCAGGGATTTCTGGTCCCAGCTGGCTCCACAATTTAAAAGGACTAGGCTAAGAGCCTAGCAAGAGAGCAGGATGGGTGTTGTAGGGTGGTCTAGGGCTGCTAGATCAGGGGCTGTGCTCCTCTGGGTGTTTCTTGGTCCCCTGGCTTTGGTTCTGGGGGCTCATATCAGTGTTTTTACTGATCCTACCCTGCTGACTTGTGGCCAAAAAAGCTTGCAGCTCACCTTACCTCCAGGCTGGGAAGGGAATGCTTCATTTGTGCTGACTACTTGGGGTGAGATAATATCAAGATGCATTTTTAGCCATATCTTTGTCCAAATGCAGAGGCGCACGGAATGAGAGGAAAGGAACAGGTTGTGATGTGAAGTGCTGTTGAACTTCACTGAAGTTCTGTGCATCTTGCATAATCAGGGGGCTGTTTATATGACACAGCAGTCAAGGACTTGGTGAAGTGCTGTGCCTGGGTCTAGATGTCTTGGCTGCTGGATTCTCTCACTGCTGGTCCAGACCCTAATACTGTCTAGGTCCCTATTTCCTACAGAAAGGATGGATTGTAGCAGGTCTGATCTGCAATGTGGGACTCTGAAGCCTCTGCTGCTGTGCCCCCTTTCCCTAGATACTGAAGGGAAGGCACATGTTCTGCAGAATGACTCCAGCTGTGGATTCTTGGTATCTGGGACTCCAGAGAGCTCCAGGAAAGTATTGGTCTCTTATGCAGGCTGTTATGTCTTTGAGTGGGTGAGTGGCCTGAGGGATTCTGCTGGGGCTGTACCTACTGCTGCTCTGGCTGTCCTGACTGGTGTGGCTTTCCCCTAGGATCACAATTACCTTATGCAGGTTGGGCTTGAAGGAGCAGATGCTGCTGAGCAAAAGGTTCTTCATGAGCAGGCACTGCTCAGGTGCCCTGGTAAGATAGGAGCCATTGTGCTGATGAGTGCCATTCCTTTCAGGTGGCTGCTCCTATAGTCATTTTGGGGGCTAGGAAAGGGGACTTACTGCTGTGCAGAAAACTCCATGAAAAAAGGTTTGGACATAGGAGCCACCAACTTGCTGGGGACTTGTGCCTCTCTGCAGGGTCAGCAGGTGAATGTGTGCATTGTGTCTCCCAGCCATATTCTGTCTACATGAGTTCCTGCAAGTTCAGGGATTGAACTGGAGACTGGGTACAATGATTTCCTAAACTACCAAGAGTTTATCTACAATGCTTTATCTTGACAGATAAGTGGTAGGGACCTCTGGGTGTGTATCCTGTGGGAATTGCATAGAGTCCCTTGCAGGGACTGTGTCTTTTGGTGCATGGTTGTGTGTAGGATGCTGGTATGATGCTTATTAGGGTATGTGCAGTGCTAAGTCGAGGTGGGTGAGCAAAGGAATCAACTTAATTTCCCTATCCACTCTGGGGAGCCTTCTGTGTTTAAGGCTTGCTACTTGGTCCTCAGCTGGCAAGAAGGCTGTAAGGAGCAGTGAGATGGGAGTTGTTCTTCTGAAGCACTGGTAGAGGGTGAAAGGCATCCTGGAGGTTTCCTCCTCTGTTGCACTGGCCGTGTTCACTGCCTGTTCTCCAATGCCACTGGGGTGTTAGTGGCTCCTGTAGTACAATATTTGCTTCTGCAGAAAGTGTGTTATTTCCTTTTACCTTCACAGAGACACTTCTGATGAACTTGCTTTCTAGGCCTCTCTTTACTTAAGTCTCATTGACTTTTCACCTTGACTTTCTTTCGAATGCCTGTGTGTGACTTCTTACACCAGCGCCCTCTTTATCTTCACGCTGTATCACCTGGTTATGCAGTCCAGTTCAAGCTGTTTGGGGTGCTGTACACAGTGCCTTAGACACCTGCAGGGGAAAGGAATCTCTCCAGGAGGGTGCTGCTGGCTGGGAATCAAGGCTGAGGAAGAGCAGCTCAGAGGCCAGCTGGGATCTGTCATTTGAGGGTGTTGTGTAGTGCTGCTACTGAATTCCAATTTTCAGAAAGGAACCCCTGTGCTGAGCAGCAGCATACTTTGTCCCAGTGCCTTCATTGATTCTTCTTGGAAATGCTGCGTGTGCTGCCTGTCTGTGGAAGCAAAGTCCAGCAACAGCACCTAATACAAGGCTGCTCAAAATAACACATGTGTTTTGTCATACCTGAACTTTCAAAAAGCTCTCCTCACCCTCTAGATCTTTGAGAACAGCACCTGCTTCCAAAGAGTAAACTTGCTTCTTTGCCAAAGCTAAAGAAGATCTTTAAAACCTTGGAGGTAACAATTCCTTTCTTGACTAGCTATGCTCACCTGATACCCTAAAGGTGTGGCAGTTGCTATACTACCAGCCAGGTGTTCATTAATAAAATATCTGAAAACAATTACCATAATAGTGATACTTTTATTAAATTTCTTATGCTTGGATTACAATGGATCCTGGAGTGGAGAACTATACAGTATGTTACACATTATAAATACATTTATTTCTGGAAAATACATGAACACATTTAACATAATGCTATAATAAAGAAGAGTGCTAGTTTATCTTAGTTTTAAAAAAACCAAAAAACAACAAACATAAAACACCCAACAAACTTATACCATGAATAGAGAGGGTTGTAGAAAATACCTGTTCACAATGCTATGTCTTAAAACACTGTAAATTCAGTTTGCACTGATTCACATTCTGTACAGTCACCGTAAAAAAGCTGGAGGGATAATGAGGGATGTAAGTTAATGCAGGATTTTTGTCCCCTGTATTTATGGAGATATATACAGAATATTCACAGAATAATCAAGTCATACATCTTTCTAGCTTTGGATGAAGCTAGCAAGATATACAGTGAATAACCAAGTCCTGCAGCTGCAGCTACAGCTGAAACATTAAACACAGCACCTACTTTAGGGTGCTAACCTTGAGTCAGCACAGCCTTTTTTTTCTTTTTAATGGTAATTTGGGTTTGGGTTGTGGGGTTTGGTCATTATGTTTGTGGGGGTTTATTGAGATGCTAAGTAACAACAGTAGCAATCCTTCTGAGTACTTGAACCCTGCCCTCACTCATCCCTGCAAAGATCCTGTTCTGGTTTGGAGGACTAGGATGGTTGCAGCTGATGTGGGATGAGCAAGGAAGAAGCATCTGTTATGGAAAAACTAAGCCTGCTGAAGCTGATCATTCCTGCCAGCTTGTCAAATCTTGGTTCTCAGGCAAGTTGGGGTTGGGGAGGGATTTTTAATCAGCAATTGCTTGACTTGTAATTATATTATAATTTATGGGGTAGAACAATCCTTTATCAAGAGGCAATGTTATTTTACTTAAACCTTTACCCCATGTGTATTAATTATTTTGCTAGTACCAATAAGAGCTAAGTCTGCAGAGACCTCTGCAACTATGGGGCGTTCAGAAGCATGCACTGCCTGGTCCTTGAGTCAGGAAGCAGTGGACATGTGGCAATAAGGCAGCCACCACACACAGTCATGGTGTTTCACAGTTGTTAGTGTATCCCAAAAGAGCACCAGTTTATAAAGGATGTATTTGTAGCCTTCCTTGTAGCCTTCCTCTCCTTCTCAAGTTTTCCTAGTAGAGAGAGGGCAGGCGGAGCCATACAGCAGCATGACTGCTCCACCTACAGCCTCAGGCTCCCACCTGCACAAACAGAGCACTTCAATGGGACTTAAAAGTATGAATTCAAGCCTGGTGTCCTGTCCCCCATCAAAAAAAGAGAACAAGATTGATTACACAATGGCTGGGGCAGAGGCTGCCCTGGATGCCCCTCCAGTCTCTCGAAAGGCTGATTCCTGCAGTGCTGCTTACTCTGGTCTTTACAATGAGTGTGTACAATGCCAACTTCTGTGCAGTGCAGCACCAGAGTCCAGGGACCTCTGCAGAAGGAGCAGGCCCACGGGACAGGAAGCTAGTAGTGGATTCAGGAATGACCTTAGCTTTACATATTTTGTTTTCCTGTTGGATTCCAGTGAAATGGCACAGCTGGCTATAGGTAGCTCTGAAGGGAGGAACTGTGCTAGGGACAGAGACTGCAACTCAGGTTCCCAGAGGGACGAGGCTGTCCTTTTAACAGCCACCTCTGCCCTGTGCAATGAGTCTCTGGCACTCCTCCAGATGATGCTATGTTCCATAAAGCTAATGCTTATTTCAGCTGGAGACGTCCCCAGAAAGTAACGATAGTTTAAAAGCTTTGGTGTTTCAGGTAGTTCTGTTCCCAACCCAGAAAAGAGGAAGAATTTCCAAATCTTAAAAGTCCCTGTTGCTTGTGTTGCCAAGATGCTAACAGCAATTTTCATCTGTGGCTTGACTTTTTAAAGTACATTTCAGATTCGGGAGCAAAGCCATACATAGTTGAGCATGTATCTGCCCACAAACCCTTCTCAACATCCCCCTTCCCTCTTTCCCTTCCAACACTCAATTCAGAGTTGCTCTTTTGACAATTGCAGGATGTAGATTGCACAGAGTAACCCCGGGATTCTTGATTTTGTGTCCTTTGGTGTTCTTGCCTTGACTTTCTGAAACAGAAACATGCAGTGAATATGGGATTAGAGAGAGTTTCTCTATATTTAGCCTGTGGGCTGAGCTGGGAAGGTGGCAGATGAAGCTGAGGCCAGTTTCTTTTAGTCTTTGTTAGGGACAGATTGTCTCTTTCCCAAGATGTCTCATTGTCTTATTATTTGGAAGTCTTTTGACTGACTGCAGATAAATGAATCTAGTGCCTTTTATGTTTTGTAAAAAAGGCTGTGTAATGTAGCCTGTATGACTATAGTTGCCTTTAAATTGTGGGTTAAAAAAAATACAGGAAGCCAAAAGCTGGAGGACTATTAAAATTAAGATATATGGGCTAGTTCTCAGTAGACATCAATCCACATAATTTGAACTTCAAAAACTGGACTTATTTCTGTCTTTGCAAGCTGGAGTGTATCTGGATGAAGGAACAGGACTGCCTCATTTTTGTGCCAAGAAGAGGTGAAAAACCCCAACCCACAAAGAAACGCATGCTGCTTTACTTACTTTACCTTGCTCCATTTGACTCAGGTTATCAGAAAGGCCATAAGTTTTCATTCTTTGTATTTTGTCCCAGAACAATCATGGAGTTTCTCTCAGTTTTCCTCAGCTCTGAAGACATAATATCTGGCCTTAACAAATGGAAAAATACAAGTGAAGTTGACAGTGGCCAGAGTGCATGGCTGTGTTATTAACATTAATATGCTGTGCATATGTATTTAAGCTATACCCAATGCAGCTTCCCCCTCTCCAGTGTGAAATTCCCTAACAGATGCTGTCCACATATTTGTGGCAGCATTCAAAAAAAGAGCGACAAGATGCAGCACTTGGCAGGGAGTCACATTGTAATGGATGGACACAAATATAATTTTGTTCAGAGTAGCCAGTAATTTCTGCCTAGCTGGAAGACAGGGGATAGACATGTGGCTGAACATCATGCAGAATTTAAAATTTCTGGCCTAAAATAGTAAGGAAATGAAGTGTTTTGAAGAGCAATACTGTGCTAGTTCCTGTGGACTGTCTCCAGCTTAATTTTTTGTATGTTATTTATTACATATGATTGAAACAAGTATAATACATCCTGTTTGTTTGAAATTACTTAGCTCAGGCCTCCAGGACTTATGACAGACAAACCTTTTGAAACACTTTCTAGACACATCTTTAAAATAGGTTCTGTTTAAGAAAACAAAGTTGTCATTTGTTTTTGGGGTTTTTAAAGGAATATTCGAAAGTTATTTACAGAAAATAAATAGCTAATAGCTATTTACTTCAAATATTCAATTTTAAAAATTTTCAACTCAAAGTCCTGACTAATGTGGTGCAGAATCTTTATTTTGTGAACTACTATATTGTGGGGTTTTTTAAAATATTGTACATTTTTATGTTCTGTTCTGCTCTTAGCTCTTTTACAATGGACCAGTCAATCTTCTGCCTTGATGTTCTTTAATTCTTTGGTGGTTTCTCAACCCGGAGCACAGGATTGAGAATACCTTAGTATTAATCTTCCAGGTGAAGAGCATCACTCAGATCTGAGGTTCTTGTGCCCTTTTCAACCTTTACTACACAGTGTTGAAGAAGGGGTCTTGTAATGTTAGAACTGCACTGTCCTTGCTAGCTTACTTCACACTAACTAGGCATCATATAGCAGCAAGCTTCTGGTGGCTTCAAACTGAAACCATCATCTTTACCATGAAAAATACTGTATTTGAGGTTAGCTTGTGCCCATGCATCTGCATTAAAGCTACAGCTCCCATAGATACCCAGGTGGGTGTATCTGCTCTGGAATGTCAGGAGGGGATTGCCTACGTTAGATCCTGCTCTGGAAAGTGGAGGACCTTGTGCTGCTTAAGTTCACAAAACCAAAATGAAGTCAGTCATCAGTCTGTTCTGGTCCTTTGCACAGAATAGATGCTGCTTTGCAGGAGCAAATGTATTAGCAAGAAAAAGAAAATGAAATGAAAACCTGAGCCTATTTGAAACAATGTATGACAAACCACTGAGTCTTGTGCCAGTATGTTTACTTTGGCAGGCCTCCCCTCTCTCCTGCTAAAAGAACCAAGCTCTCTCTGCTATGAGAATTCTTCTGTGGATGTTTAAAAAAAAAAAAGAGAGAGACAGAAAAGAAAAACAAAACAACCACCCTGCAGCAGATCATTCATCATACACAGAGTAGGAGCATGAAAGGGGATTTGTTTCGACCTAGTTACAAAAACAAAGAGACTTTCTCTAATTGCCCAAATGACTCAAGTGGGACTGGGTGTCAAAAGCAACAAATCTCTGACTCCTTCAGAACTTATGTTAATACAGGGCACCAGGCTCCAGCCTGTTCCAGTGCAAGACCTGGAGTCCAAAAAAGCCCAGGTAAGCAAAAGCCGGCCAACTACATATGTCTGCATGTACAAACAGGACCAGCAGCCAGGACAAACATGTTTAATAAATTATAACAAAGACAGTGGCTTTAAATGCTGACAGTATCAGGGCTTCAAGGTTTGCTTTGCCAAGATTTGCAGGTGAGTGAGACTTTATTGCTTTACCATTCTGGTACTGCCACAGGAAGGGTCTCTCTTACTCTCCAGCAGCATTTGCTGGTCTGTTATTGATCCACTAAGCCTAACTTTTTACTTCACAGGAGCCTGAGGGCAACTGCATATCCAAACTGCCACGTGAACACCGTGGCCACCTTTTCCACACATCACTGAAAAGGACAGGGTTTGTACACTGCTATTGCTGGGTTTGGGGTAAAAAAAGCAAGATCAAATACAGATAGGGCTGGGGAATAAGAGCTAAAATGAAGGAGAAAAGGAAATAGAGGGAGATAAGGGGCATGAGTAGAGGGATGGGTTTTATGTAGATATACGGGAGAAGAAAGTAGAAGAAAAGGCCATTCATCAGCTACTGAAAACAGCCTGCAAAAATCAGTGTACAAGAGCTCTGAAGATGCCTGCATACAGCCAGGCAAAAAACTGTCCATTTGGCATCTCATTGTACAGTATTTCCATGATAGCAGTAGTTGTCCATTCTAGGAGACTAATTTCTAGGGAGCTAGAATTTCTGCTAGGAGCCCTAATAAGGGCTGACCCTTCATTGGAAATATATGAATTTAGGCAGCTGATGACCTAGTCTTCAATTCTTATGTAGGGACTGCTGGTGCTGTCCTCTGTGCTGTGGAGATGGGGCAAGCAGAAAAAACTTTTCTGAAACCCAAATAAAATTTCTGGTTCTATTCAGGTTTAGAGGGAAGGTTCACAGGAGTTTGTATTTTTTCCCCAGCTGGTTCACCATCTATTTTAGATGGAACTGTTTGATCTCTTTCTGCTTTGTGTTTCTTTCAGTTTCCCAAACAATAGGAGGAAGCTCTCCTGTTACGTGTGCTTGGGCTCCAACCAACCTTTTCCCAGCTGGAAAAATCACTCCATGTATTACAGAGGATTTTTTTTTTTCCCCAGCTGTAATTATAAGATTTCCAGTTCCCTTATGCATTTTGTAAGGTAGGTACAGGCTGTCTTAAGGATAACAATAGGACATTCCTGAGTGCTTAAACAACTGCTGTTTCCCCACCATCACCCCCTCTAAAACTGGAGGGGGACTTAAGCACATTTGAGCTGTTCCGCTGAAGGTTACAGAGACCCCAGCTGAAAAAACATTCAGGGAGGTGCACAGCTCCACGTAATGCTCCAGCTTTGGTGACTAAGATACCCAGGCTCTTCCTGTTACCTGATTATATACACAAACACTCCAAATTCACCAGACTAGCTGGGAGGACTTGGCAAGTGCACAGGGAATATCTGTGCAAGGGACAGCTGGCAGAACTGTCAGATGGACATGCACAGCACAGTTTAAGAGGCCAGGCTACAACCAGCCTGGTAGACAAACTTGCCCAAGGGAGCAGCATGGATCCCTTCCTTAATAGAAATAAGACCTCATACTTGACCCAAATGTTCATCTACATCAACAAACAGGTCCCACCCATCAGCATACATTCAGCAAACTTCATCTCTTCGTCCTCTGACAAAACTATCCAGCTGATCCTGACTGTCCCATCCCAACACACATCAGGTACAATAAGGTCTGTTCCACTAGATGAAAGGTGGGGAAGCGGGCAAAAGAGAACATTAATGCTGACTGCCATGCTTAGGAGGGAGAAGAAAGACAAATAACTAGGCTATAGAATGGCTCTGGCTAATTGTCATCATCCCCTTGCCCTGCTGGGGAGAAGTGCCTTATTTTAGGGACCCTAATGTTTCCATGATTCTCACACAGGTAACATCCAGCTGGGATCCTGGAGCATCTGGGCACTAAGGAAGCAAACACTACTGCTAGCCAGGACCAGCATATGCAACAGAAATAAGGTAAGGAATGGTCTTCTCTGCAGCAACAACCAGAGGTAAAGCTTCTACCACCTCCTCCCAACAGTAAGGGAAAATCTCCCACAGCATTCGCTCACCTATACAGCTGTGGGCAGGACCTCTTCAGAGCAGCAGAGGACAGCCCCAGCTTGTTCTGGTTTGTCAACCGTGTCTTCCTCATAAGATCTCTCATTCTCCTCCAAGCATGGCTCTCACCCTAGGGAGCAAAAAGAAACCACAACTTAAAAGACCAGAGGCAAGTAGCTGGCAGACTTCATCTGGTCAACACATTATTCTTTGGGATACTCCAGGGTGGTGGGAAGAGGGAAGTTTCTTTATTTCAGACAGATAGGAGTCAGGGCCCACAAAACAATTTTAACACTGCAGTGATGCCCAGTGGCTAGCCTGTACCTGTACAGGACAAGGAGACAAGATTGATGAACTCTGAGTAATGCCATCTTTTTCATATTTTGTTTGGTAACATTTCTCTACCTAGGACTCCGCTGTTCCTTCTGATTTAGGATTTCAGAGAGGGAGGTGCCCTCACTGAGTAGCTGCCTAAGGGCACGTTTTACCCTATTGTTAGGCTGTGCTAAAGCAGAAGATTGGTTTGGTTTCCTACCTACTCACATGCATGCAGGGGGCCTTTACAACAAAAACCAAAAAAGCAGTTTTACTCTCTTATCCTTTCTATTAGGTCAGGTGCATTGGTATCAGCCTGTTTTAAGGTGGTAGCTTTTGTGGAACACGAATTAGAAGAGATCAAGCCTTTGTTTCCCTGTCACTCAGCAAGCCACAGCTATTGGCCTTATATTTGAAATGCTAATAGAGATTATCAGGAGGTCAGGGAGTCTCAGGAGGCCATCTCTAATCTTTGGTCTCTCCAGGCTGGGTTTATCTGGACTCGTGAACTAAATGGAGCTATGAATACAAAAAAATATTTTTTTTTCCAATATTGTTTTAAATGTCCTAAAGTGATGACTGGAAAACCTGGGGAACAGAACAAAAATTATCATATCCCAGAACTAGCTTAACAGAGGGAAATTATTCCCATTTTAGTGAATTTCTCAAATCATTGTCACGTTCCTGACATTGTTCTGCCCTGTCCCGAGGTTCCTCCTCAGTGTGTGCTGGTGCTGCTGTGCACCATACAGGAGTTGTGGCCACCTTGAGAGCACAACCTGGCAGCTGCCCAGGCACACTTACCAGCCCCAGCAATGCCTATTGCAATAGTTCTTCTTGGGAATCTGCAAAGTTTTCAGTGCAAAACTTCAGATGAGGCCATGGCTCAGCTGAGAACTGCAACACCTGATTCAGTGCTATTGAGTTAATTGCATGTAAGCCAGACTGTTTACTCAAGGAAACAGCAAACCTCTGTGTTTACTGCTAGGATTAATGTGTGCTGTGGAAGGGTTTTGAGGCCTCAGCAGTTAGTCCCTCGTTGTGCTGGTGATGTTTCAGACAAGCAAGCACTGCTGATACCGAAGAAAGCCTGAGCAGCTGATGCTCCTGTAGTCCATGAGAGTAAACTTCGGGGGTGAGTAAACCTCTATTGTTCATGCAATGGTGTGCACTACACGGGCTTACTCACTGATAATGTAGACACAAGTTAAATATATTCTGCAAAGGCAGTACGTACCGAGATGTTCTTGCTGACGTCCAGAGCCTAAGAACAAAAGGGAAATACACTGATAAATAACAAGACAGCGAGACCATCTCCCAGCGTTTGCAACAGATTAGGCTCTGTTCTCAGCTCTGCACTGGAATGTACTCATAGTCTTGGTCGAGTTCTTTATTTCTTTTTAGACTCAATCCCTCACATGTGTGATAATCCCTTCTTTCTCCTTCCACCTCTCACCTCTCTTTTGTATTTAAGCTGCCAGTTAATGTGTATAGTACCTAGTAGCCTGGGGGTAAGTGTAACAGACAGAATTCCCATACAGTACAGAATACCCATACAATATCTGCACTGTGGGAATAAATGGTGCCTTTCATGTTCAGGGTACAAAATGCAATACTAAGTGACAATACTAAGGTGTGGTTTAACAAGAGAGGATGAGGATTCAGTTTAAAGAGATCTTGGTTCTGTGGTCCTTGAAGTCATCAGAACTTCCCACATGCTTAAAATCCTCCAGAAGCTGGCTGGACACAAGGCAGAGCATAGAGCACCTTTCAGGCCTCAGCCTTAATTTGGGTTCTGAAGTTCATTGAAGAGTTTGTGACCTATCTGCAACTTAAGGGTGGAAATTTCATGAGGTCTTTCCCGTGAGAGACCCACTCCTTCCTCTTTCCTGTTTGCAGGGCTGGGAATACTCTGATTAGAGTCTCTGCTCTGGCATTTCAGCACTTCTTAACCCCACCGGAACATGAAAGTGCTGAGGCAGACACAAACAATGGGAAAGAAAGGGAGAGGAAAGCATTCGTCCTCACTCCCTTGGACTTTAGTAACACAGATTTGCTGAAACACATTCCCTGGAACATGCTTTTGAGGACTGGAGCTAATTACATTGATATGCTGCCAGTCTGGTAATAAGTGTGGCCAGCTAAGGATTGATCCACTAAAATTTTAGTTAGTGGTAATGAATACTTGATTAATCTCACTAGCATCAGTAGTGGAGATACTTATGACTGAGTCCGCACAGTAAGTTATTTGGAGTTGGTGAGGACTAAACCTCATGCTGCTGTCTGCAGTCCTCCTCTCCCCTGCACCAGTGATCCATTAGTGCCTTTCTTGGCATAAAGATATAGTCCTTCTTCATTTAAGGGTGGGAGCAGAGAGACACAGACCCCCCCTGACCCTCCCTGGCCCAGTTCCACTTGGTAGCTGACAAGGTTGGCTTGCTCTCCTGGCATCTCACTCTGATCTGCCTGAGCAGAACTTCTCTCTGCTTCTCCCATGGGTCCCACTCAGAGTCAGGTTCCAAGCTAATCACTCACCTTTCTTACTGCAGGGTCCTTTGACAGAAAGGCCTGTCCCTCAGCCATACTCCCAACTTCTCTGAACTCATTCTCCTTGTTGTTCCTATTGTTTGATGACTTCCTGAGCCCCATCATCGGCTGGCTCTTTCCTGATTCCAGATATCTCTCACTTCCTGCAATGAAATGCAAGGACTTATTCTTAGCAGTGTCCTGCTAGGATGGCCTCTGGGCAGTGCTGGCAGCAAGTTATGACTTCAGATGGGATGAGAACCCTAAGGACTTTAAGACGGGATAAGATCCTGTGTGATCCCAAAGGTTCTGACTCAATTCTGAAACGAAGTTGTTCTGTGTTTCACCAGGTATTAGAAATAAGCTGAAATCCAAGGTTTGAACTAAACTGATCAGGCTCATTTAGTGAGCTGGTTCACATCTAACAGACTTTTCATCTGGTTTTATCATCAGGAGGCTGAGCCCAGTGTTTCTCAGCCTTGTGGAAAAGTTGGTCTCTGGATCCAAGCTTAGCAGCTGAGGCTTATTTCCACTTGGTCTGTAGAATAAGTCACCCTCCAGGAATGGATTCTGTGCCTACTTGAGAGGGTAGAAGACTAACAACAGGCATAAGGTTTTCCATCTTAGACCAAATCCTTGCCTGGGTGGAGGGAGCTCCACTAATGGTCCCATTCAGGCATGCTAATTTTCCAAAAGACCTATTTTATAATTCACTTGTCCTAATCTTTACAGCTACAAAACAAAAACCCCCGATTCACACACATGAAGCAGCCAGTGTTAAAATCCTAAGTACAGACAGAGCATTTTTAATTGCTTCTCTTGGATTTCAGCTAGGGTTTAGTTCTACTAAAACCTTGCTCTGTTCCCAACTGTCTTTCCTTGGGAAAAGAAAGTGGCTGGTCAGCTTGTTTGACCAAGTGGTGGCAAACAGGAGGGCACGTTAGAGGTATTTGAACTCACCATTGCAGCTGCTCAGCTTCTCGCTGTTCACTCCTATTTCTGGGATGATGGAAAGATCAGAAGAGTTTCCAGTCTGAACCAAGAGGCTGTGAGGTCTGCTCCTCCCAGCAAAATTTGTTTTCATGTCTTGATATGAGTTAAGGAAGATACTGGCAGCTCCACAGGAGCAATGTTGCAGAATGTATTCCTGTACCAGACAAAAAGAAAATATGCAGGCTCTCAGGCTGCAGCAACCCAAGGTAATGGGTGGTGTGACACTACAGAGAGAAATTGTAAACATTCCAGCCCAGGGATGTCCATCCTTGTCCAAGGACCTACCAGAACCCAGACAAATTATTTAATTCTCTAAAATGCTGAACAGCCTGTAGTTAGTAATACACAGCTTTCATGGCTTCATTAGCATTAACTTAAATTGCCTGATACTCAGTGTCTTTTCAGTTTGTTTCCCAGAAGGAATTGAATATGAGTTTCTAAACAGAGAGCTGCTCAGCTAAGGCACTAGTGTAAATAAACAGATCAGTTATAACAATGACTCATATTTTAAGATGTTATTTGTTTTGGAGCATGCACAGACAACAATATCTTGTATTTTTATTGATGGGATGCCACAGTTTTCTTGTGTGTTACCAGCCAGATGGACTGTATGTGGTATTTCAGTCAGTGTACTTCTGCTGTTGCTGGTGGGGTGAGGAAGAGGAGATCTTCTCCCTTGCACAACCATATTACAGAAGAGTTTAATAGGATAGGAAGGAAGGAGAGCTTTATCCAGCTGAAGCAGAAAGGGAACCAAGCCTTTTACTAGTGTTGGAACCAGAACAGGCCAACACCAATCTAGCACCATTGGAGACCCCCAAGCAACTGACAGTTTCAATGTCACTTCTCATCTGAATATGTTGTCACAGCAGCATGGCACTTTGCATCATTAATACCTTTGGGAGATGCCTAGCAAATCTGATGAAACATGCTGCTTTTGGCCCATGGTATTACAGATTTCCCTGTAAAGAAAGGATGTGGAGCAGCAATGCTCTCTTTGTGTCCCAGGATCAAAGCCATCATTTCAGTGGTGATGTCTGTGCATCTCTCAAGAACAGCATTGCGAGGATTGGTTATCTGCAATCCTCGTGACCAGCTCTTAATACCATGTTAACCCCATGTTTTGGGGGTTGTGTCTTCCCTAGCCATGTCTGGGACATGGAAACCTTTCATGCTTATAGTCTACATGGAGAGTGAACATGGTTTGTAAAGGAGTCTTTGGATGCCCTCCAAATTGTGGATGGCAATCTTCATGTTTCATGGCAAATAGGGGTAGCAGTGCTCCTCTTCTATTCAGAGGGGCTATGACTGAGGAACAAAATGATGGGGAGCTGCTCAAATATAGGAGATCCAGGCACCACAGGATACCCAAGAGTGTCTGGTTTTTTAGACCACGCTGCAAGCACTGAATGTTACATCTGAGGATCCAACTCCCCACTGAACAGTATGAGACAAATGCATCTGAGAAGACACTGCTGAGAGACCTTCAGAAGTACCAAAAAGATCAAAGTTTCAAATATTTAAATGAAAGCACAGTGCCTTTTATTTCAGTGGGAGCTGGGGAGGGGGCATGTACACCAGATGATTTTGCAGCTTGGAAGAGTTACTTTTAGCAATGACTCACAGCTGTAAAGCTTCGGGAAATGTGTTAACAATTCCCAGCTCTATGTAGGAGGCTGCATTCCTCTGAGTGTGAGAGATGGGTACATGGAAATGGCAAGCTACTCTGCTCTGCAACCTGACTCAGAACTTGGCTTTGGCTCTGAGGAGGAGTCAGTCACCTACTACAGATCCAGTCCCAGCAGGTGGGAGAGCAGCACCAGGGGAACAATGACACTATCAGGAGAGTAAAAGACTCACCACAGCACAGCTGGGAAGAAATAGCTGAGTGTGATAAACCCTTTCTGTTCCTTTGGGGAGTGTTAAAACAAACAAAAAGGCAGGGGAGGGAAAAAGATGGAAATCTGGCATGATGACTGAAGAAGAGGTGGGGTAGAGCTCAATGAAGTATGCAGGGGCTAAAAAATGTTGATGGAAATGCTAGGACGACCCTGAAATTATTTGCAAATTTCAGTGAGATTTTCCATCTAGCTATGGCTGATAAAAATGACAAATGGGAACACTGAAATGGTTTCATGTCAGAGATTCTTCATCTGGCAGCTCAGGAGTACAGGAAGTCAAAGAAAGCATGGAGCTGGGTAATGGTATCGCTGCTTCTCTTTCCCCTTGTGTCTGTTTTGTGAAAAATTCTGGGATTTTGACAGCTTGAAACCAGAAGGAAATGAAAGATCTTATAATTCAATGGAGCTTACTATGGAGCTCTGTGGATTTTGTTTTGACAGCATTGAGGAGAGGGGATGTGTTCTTGGGAAGTTTAGTGTAGCGAAAAAGAAGTTAGTGACTTAGAGCAGGCCATTTCATGAGGTGAGAAGGGTGCTTTTTAACTCGAAAGAAGCAAGCATTTGGGAAACAAAACTGAATAAGAACAGAAACTCAAGCGCAGCCTCAGGAAACTAAACCCACTGTGGTGGGTGAGGCCTCCCTACCCAGCTCAGATGGGTGTTGGATGTGGTAAATTGTCATCTTCCCGCACACAGAACGTTCTCTTTGGGCCTTGAGTTTATTATTTAAGATGTATTACTCAATGGAAGATTCTATGGTGTCTGCTTACCTCTTTTATCTGATTCATCTTCTGCTCTTTCTGCAAGCTGCACACTTGTTTTTGGAGACGCAAGTTGTGCTCCTGAAGCTGCCCAATCTTCTCAATCAGTTGGCAGATGTGTTCTAGATATCCCAGACCAGATCCCAGGGCTTTGCTGTTACTTTGGTTCACCTGCAATGACAATGCATCTTGGACCATGGAGTAACAAGAGAGCAATTCTTACTAGGAGTTGAGAGCCCTGTCTACTCCTTAAAGTCATGTCCTGTGATAAAGTCAGGCTTGCTCTTGCAAGGGGCTTTGGTCTTACCACAGATTTGAGCTACAACATCACTTGCTGAAGCTCTTTTCTGGATTACTCAGCAATTTCCACTGTCAGAGGGAGTCTTCTGACTGCTCACAGGCTGATGCAGAGGAAAACCTCATGACAGCCTGTTTCTAGTCCCACCTCCCAGGCTAATTTTTGTCTTTGACTGGCACCAGAAGCTTACAAAAAAATATGGTACAACTGTATGTAGTGGATGGCTGAGGCCCTCTTAGCCCACAATCCTCAGTACAAGTCACACTTATATGTACTGAAGCTGGGCTTAGCTCCTACCCAAAGGCATGTATCTGTAGGTTGCATTGATTTGCTGACTTGTGACCAACTCGAGGGTACACTTTGCTGTACTCTGGCCCTCGTCACAGGTATGTCTGTGAGAGAAACATACTTAAATCAAGCTGCCAAAGTGAAAGAACATCTTTCCACTAGTCTTTAGTAGATCCCAGCTTACATCCCTGCTGCTACTTTCTCTGTCTTAAAGAGATGCCTGAAGAAAGTTTGCAGGAGCAACTTTGCTGTCTGGCTGTGGAAGGATAATCTCTACCACCGATTTCTCTTCACCCAGGACCTGGCAGAGTCTCACTGCTGCTCAACCAAGGGCAACGCTGGAAACAGAGAGTAATCCTATGGCAGAAGAAAAGCTATGATGCTTCCCAGCCTCCTGCTCTGCACCTCACCATTTCTGGTGCCAAGACCTCCCCATGCACAGCGAGTGTCCTCCCCTGTGCCGTGATCAGACTGTGTCAAACGTGCTGCTAACAAACACATGCAGGGACTCACTTCCACCTTGGCGCTGCCTGCTGATGTGCGTGTGATATCAGTGAGTAAAATAAGCCTCGATCTTTACAAAAGCAGTGCTCTAAGTTTATCTTACTTCAAAAAATAAGTTCCCTCTACAAAAGCAGGAAGCTTACTCTGTCTCCTTTCCCACAACAATCTACATTTTTGGGGAAATGCCAGCCCTGGGACTCTTCCTGTCTTTTCATTATGTCAGAAAGCTCATGGTGTGTTCAAAAATAATCAACATTAGGATTTACTCTTTTTTAAACAAATGATGATACAACATTATTTATAAACAGGTATTATTAAATCCAGATGCTTTTGTGTCTGAAGTTGGGACAGAGATTGTTGACTCCAAGTCAAGCAGTCATTCATTTCATGACTTTTATCTTCCTCTCAGGCAGAGCCTGCAAGAAGTGGTGGCAAGACAAAAGTTACTCAGCCATAAAACAGAGTATTTACTGTGGCTGTGCAATGGGTAGGGGCACAGCCCCAGGACTCAAAGGGAGAACAAAACATATGTTGTATGTGGTGGGAAAAGCTTGAATCAAAGCACTATAATCAATATACCTGAAAGCAGCTAAGGATTTGGGGGTGCCCAGTTGAGAAGCATAATTTTCAGAAAGTACATGGGTATCAGCTTCTGAAAATTTGGCCATTTTGAGTTGTCGCAAGATGAACAGCCATTTTTTGTACACTCTTCCAACAGATAGTCAGAAGTTCCTTATTACCCCTGAAAATATAGGCTTTCTTCCACACTCTACCCTCTTTTTGGAACTAGTGACCTAGCAACTCCCCTTCCTGCTAGTATGCTACTGCATGACTGCTGGCATGTCTGTACTGCCCTAAGGAGACACTGAGCCAAATCCAACCCATTATAGCTGTGGAAACACAAGGGGAGGCTACAAGGGAGAGACGAGGTCTTGGAGAATGGGATAAAGTAAAACATTTGGCTCTAACTTAGATTGGAGAAAAAGAATGAAACATTTGACTGTGACCTCTTCTACTTAGAGACCCTCTTTTTGCTCCATATTTGTCCTGTGCTTAATGTTGTACAGTTCTGCTTCATGTCTGTGGCTGCTGGGTTTGTAGGGCAAAATGGGCAGGGGGAGGAGAGAAGAAGGCTTGGTTTTCTGTGCTCTGTATCTAGGGCTGAAGGCTCTGGAAAGCAAAGGTGTATTTGGGACGAGCATGGAAAAAAACCTGGTTTTTAGCAAAAGTTAGAGAGAATCTCTAACTCCTGAGAGTAAATACAAGTGCCCAGAAAATGAGAGGGAAAAGTTGTAGAGTAGTTGCTCCAGGTCTTGGGGCAAGGTGGATCTACCCCTGTAGAGGACCTAAACCAGACTGGACTCAATAGGCTGAAGATCCCTGTTTCACAGCCAGCCTTCAGAGGCTGCTTGGGGCAGTTTGGGCTACCTAATAACAAATTAATCTGCATTTGATTGAAGTGATCTCAGAAAGAAAAAATCAGGTAGAGCCTCCAGTGCTTGCACATTTCTGCCAGCCTCCTCTGTGGTCAGAATGCAATGGTAAAAACTTCTAGGGGTGTGCTTCACCCTGCCACAGGTCTGGTTAAGAGTAGAATTGCTCAGATTTGGCAAGTGCTCCATAGAGAATATTTGTGTAATTTAGCTGGTTGTCCCCAAAACAATTGCACAGAGAGAGCGTCTCTAGGAACCCTTCAAAGACTTTGTTTTTTCATAGACTGGAAATACTTAAAGACCCCTAGCTATCTTTTTGTGATGCCAAGTGCAGCATAGACTCTGGTCTGTCATGTTCTGGTCTAAATATTTTCCTCTCAGCATCTGAGACAGTTTCATACAAGTACTGAAGAGTCAGCAACCACAAGAAAACTGCAAACATTTTCCAGGATGTCTCTTCCATTCTCTGTCCTCCCAGCTGAAGCTTCATGATGGAAATTTGTCCTACTCTCCACACGGTAATTGTCAAATAGTGTTGGAACAAAAGCTGTGTGCCTATTTTTGAGATGATGAAGCCCATGAAGAAGGAAAAATATCTTGTCTACTTTTCTGTAAGGTGAAGATGTGGAGGATCATAAAGACACAATTTATGACTCACATGGTTAAAGCTTCTCTAGGAAAGTAAGAATATAATGTATAAATATGTGCCAGATTTTGCTTTTAGGCATGAGACTGAGCCAGACCCTCATCTGGATGGAACAGAGTTAAAGGCTCCCAGTTATGCTATGCTGACTTACTCACATTATGGTTTTTTGACCCTGAGGAGTTAAGATGCACTACATTGACTGTACACCTGTGTAACCAAAGAGGGATCTCTGCCCTTGTCAGTGCTCACCTGACTAAGTTTTGGGCACAGGTTTTCAGTATGTGTGTCCCTGGCAATAAACCATAACAGTTGTGCTGGCCCACACATTTCTTAGGAAGCTTAAAAATACAGGATCAGCATCTGCACTGGGAACTCTGGCTTATCTAGAGCCCTCTAGTCAATATTTTGATTGGCAAATCACATCTTTTCCTCTGTGGCTACACAGCTCACAGAGGTGGGAGCCTGTCCTCTTGTCTCTGGGGAATATTGTGCTCACTGCAGCACCTGATCACTACAAAGATTTGAAGTCCAGTGGGAGCTGCAAGAGTGAGAGTTGCTTTCAAGTCTCTTGTCCAGCTGATGTATAATCAAAATCTGCATGTCTGATCATCTGGTCAGCACTTTGCCCAGCCTCATTTCAGCCATTATCTGTTACTTGGATGCATGCGATGTGCTTTTCTGCAATTGGGCTCAATGGAGAACTGTCCTGAGCTGGACCTGGCAGCACGAGCTGAAGATGATGGGCAGTTTGCAGGGGAAGCTTTTCTTTGTTCAGAAAAATTCTCAGTGATGTATCTTGTATTACCTTGGGTTTCTGTGCTTCACACAATGCTCTTCACTTTTCTTTTGCATAGTTTTGGGTTATACTAGGCTCCATCCTGCCATACATCCCTCACTGCGAGCATGGCTGGTGCAGGCAGCACGGTCACTGCAGGGACCCGACAGGGAACAACGTAATTTCAACATACATCCCTCACTGCGAGCATGGCTGGTGCAGGCAGCACGGTCACCCGACAGGGAACAACGTAATTTCAGCCCTCCCATCCCGGGCCCAGAGCAACCAATTAGTGACACCACAGGCTGAGCGGGAAGCATTTGTCACTGGTAGCTGACAGCACCGAAAGGCTTGTGAATAACAGGAAAGAGAAGGATCGTGCTGTGTATTTCTGACGGCTCCACCCTGCTGTCCAGGAGGGGCTGTGCTTGCTGATATCTTCTGATTTCCCCTGAGCAGCACGCACAGGCAACGGGCCTGACCATCACAGGTAGCCCTATCCTTCCCCTGAACTGTACCACTCTGTAGAGAAACATTTGGACTGCTTTGGCCCAGGATAAATAGCACCGCGTGAATAATGATTTTTTTCGCTTAATGATGACAGTGCTCCCATCCTTTTTCTTCTAGGAGTATGGGCTAGGCTGACTTTAAATGTAAACTTTATAGAGCATGAGGAAGTGTTTGTAAAGCAAAAGCATCAAAAGCTACGTATCTTCAAACTTCAAGCTTAAAAGGAAATGCTTTTATTTAGGCTTCAAAGTTGTTTCTCTTGTTGTTTGACAGCTTCCATTTTCTTTCATCTTTCAAAATGTAGGCAAATTTCAAAATAACAAGATTTCAAAACAAAAGATCAGAAAGATTTGTCTAAAAATGCTGCACTGAAATGATTTGATGTATATTTTCAGCCAAAGCCATTCACCAACTGAATCCAAGTGGTCAAAACATTTGGTCATTTCCAGTCTCTGTTTTTCAGCATTTTCCTTCCTGTTCTCTTGGAAGTGGCCTCAGCAGTGAGGGATGGTCAGGAGGACATCAAGGGACAACTTCATCCAGAGACTGAATCCTTGTTTGGCTGTGGTGAGCCAGTAAGCACAGTTGGCACTGCTAGGGAAACTCAACTGCTCTTCTGTTACTTGAATGTTCCCAAAGCCATCAATAGAACTGAGGAAGATGGTGTCACCTATAACTAAATAATGCTCTCACTGAGCATTAACTATAAGCCAGTGTAAGCACTTTTGCATTTTTATCAAAATTAATGTAATGCAGCAGGAATTTATTTGATGGAGCAATTTGGTTTGCCATGTTCTTGCCAAGGAGGGTAGGAATACGCTGTGCTGGCCTGCTTTCTTTCAGGCAACAGTGATTCATTTCCAGGGATATCTTAGTCCCTCATAAGACAACAGGCCATAGCAGAGGTTGGTTTCTAAGTACCATTTTGTGTCTTGGACAGGTTACAGGCAAATGTGAAAGCCTGGAGCAAAGCCTCAGATCGGATGAACTGAGATGCATCTGTCAGCTGTACAGTCAGGTGATCATCTGGACCTCACTTCTGAACAGGATTCTGGTGTATGACAGTGAGGACAGGTCAGCCTGCTATAAGCTTGGTGAGGGCAGAGGACTCTGCATCTGCCAGAGGCTGTCCTGCTGCTCTGAGGCACACAGAGCAGCAGCTGCTGCAGGGCTGTGCAGCAGCCCATGGGCATTTCTCGTCTCAGCCAACTTCAGTGCTACCTGGCATCCCAGCAGTTTGAGGAGTGCTGCTCTTGAGATACATCAGCCTGGGGGTGTGCTGTGAAGAGGGGCAAACTTCCCCAGCATCTAGGTCACAGCTGTATTTACACAGCTCAGAAAACAAAGAAAAGTGCTCTAGGGCACAGGGCTTTAGCACTCAGCCAGTGAGGATATTAAAAAGGAGGGGAGATAAACCACCAAAGCTTAATTTCCTCTTCAGCTTCTTTCTAATTTATTCTCTTGTTTATTTAAATGCTTTGCTATGGTAAACTGAGGCTCCATTTCGCTAAGGATTTAAAGGAATTTCACAGGCATACAGAGCTGTCAGACAAGACCACATCTGGGTGCAAACTCTCCAGAGTGCAACAGAGAACTTAGGTAACTTTTTATGAAGTCTCCTTATGGTCAGATTCTGCTGCTCTCATCCTTTCTTGATCTCTCTGTCAAATGGCCAGATCTGTTTGGGATCTGTGCAAATTAGACATCTGTCTTCTGCCATGTGTGAAATAGCTCTGGGGAGGAAAACACTGCTCAGATGGGTTGTGTGTTGCTTGTACTGCCTTGATATGCAATGTTGACAGAGATAAGACATCTCTGACCTTCCTCACTGCTCAAGAGGGTTTGGCATGCTGGAAAGGAAGTCCAATGCCCGATTGTTCAGCGCAGCGAGGTCATGGTTAAATTATTTGCACAGCACACATCACTTGTTACTTGGCTTCCTCCCACCCATCTCCAATTCCAATTAATCACTATTACCACAATGAGCACCCCGCAAAAAAATCCCCGATAGGCACCATTTAATGCTTTTGTGTGTTTTGGTTTTTTTCACCTAGTCTGCCTTTCTCCTTTTTCTATCCCTTTGCTCATGGGACTCTTTGGTCTGTCTCTCTGTCAAGAATCAGGTCTCCACTGAGATCTTTGCTTTGCTGGTTCCTGGAACCCACTGCAGCGTGCAGGCAAGGCAGTGATCTGTCCTCACTTCAACAGCATGAGGCTTCAGGCAAAGAACTGGGGGGAGCTTTAACAGCAGCTGCTATAGGAGAAGGTGCACAGAAGGGCTTTTTATTCTCTTGTCAGTGGCAGGGAGTAAGGAGTGGGACAACCTGCTGAAATTAGGTCATTGCAGTTTGGTCCATCACAGCTATGCTGGCAAGTTAAAACAGTATCTCCAACTCCAGCCCGACAAAAATCTGAATTTGTGAATTAGCTCCCTGCTTGTGCATTATTTGAGACAGTTGACTCAACAGGGCACAACAGGCCTGGACAGAAATGAATTAACCCTTAGACAAGTTCCTTACAAATCTCAGTGTCCCAAAAGCAAGTCAGCTATTCCCAGAGACAGGAATAACCTGGTCTTGAAAATAAACCTATGTTCTGACCCCCACCCCATGTATCAGAGAATGATGACTTATCTTGATAATCTTCATTTTTGAGACCAGAATCAAGTATATCCTCTCATCTAGAGCTTTTAGAAACACTAGATCTCAATGAGTCATTTTTCATCCTTTCCCAGACCAGATATTGACAAATTAATTCAGAATTTTACTCACATGAAAAGAAACCTTAAAAATCAATTACTATTTTCTGCTGCTTACAAGTTTCAGGGGAGATATTCTAAACTCACTCAGATATGTCTAATTTGTGACAAACAGGACATGAAACAGGGGTGTTTGGACAGGCATAAATTTAAGATACAGTTCAGGTGTTTCTCACCTCACTCAGCCTACAGCATTCATCCATGTATTCATCCAGACTATCACTTGTGGGGTACTTCTTCAGCTGGTGTTCATGGATCTGAAGGTCTTGCATGCTGCCAAAATTCTCTGAAAAATTGTCAGCAATTGTCTTTGGCTCTTCTACGGGACCTGGGGTGGAAAGAGTGTTTTCCCTGGAAAGGTCCATCTCTGTGGTAGGTTCCTTTTCTGGAGATGACTGCTTGTCATCCTGGTAAAAATGATCATCAGGACTTTCTTCCTGAGGGTCATTGAAGTCTTCAAGGGAAGCTGTAGGATCCTGCACAGCATCTGCCTCCTGACTATAGTAATCAGCTTGCTTTTTGCTCTCTGGATCTTGTAGGCTAACATTTCTGGCATGTTCTTTACATGTTCTCATTAACTGATGGTCAATTTCTGGAGAAGAAGAGGTGCTAAGCACACCCGAGTCACAAAATGAGTCTCTGCTCTGAAGCACAAAGCTCTTCTCTGAGCCCGTGGGTGTGGATGGAGAATTAGCACCGCTTGGCAACTCAACCCCCGAGTCCTCAGATTCGAATTTGGAGAATCTGTGAAGCCGGCACTTGGACTCGAAGGCGCTGAGGTCAGGCAGGGTGGCTACGTGGTCACTGCTTGCCGGGCCATCCGCACAGTCTGGAGCTGCGCCTGCGGCGTCTGGGCTTCCCAGGCAGTCTGGTGGGACACTGGCACCGGGAAGATGGGACTGCTCTGTGCAGGCTGTGTCAGCTGGAGCCTCTGGGATTAACCCTGGGTTTTGAATTCCTTCATTGCTCAGTATCTTCATGTGTGTTAACACGACCTTGTCCTCAGCAGGTGGGCTCTTTTTACCTGCTGAAAAGAAACAAGAAGAAGGTCACAGGAGGCTACAAAACTCAGTATCTAATGCATGCCCTGGGGGATGTGGAATGTAAAACTGCCTATACCAAGGTGGTAGAGTGGAACAGCCCTAATTTGTTTTTCTTGAGCTATATGAAGCTTTCTGGTGGGCTTTGCTGCAACAAAAGGCTTGTGTTTCAGAGCTTCAGAGTCCTCCAGGGGGGCTTATAAAAGCACAATTCTGATTTAATAGATAGGTAGAAAACAACATATGTAGGCAGGCAACTTTTTTGTAATTATCTGCATACAGATGGAGAGATGTACATGTTCTTTCAGCCTGACAGACATTAATTTAAGGCTCAAATATTTTTTTCCAAATAAATGTATTCTGAACCAGCAGAAAGAAGAGTAAAATGAAATTACTCTTCCCACAGACTTAAGTGAATTTTGGTTTTCAACAAGCAATTTGAAAATTCTTTGGTATTCTCTGCTCACATACATGTGACAAAAATCAAGTTCTGATTACAAAAGCAAGTGTAAAAAGCACTGTAGATCTTTTTCACTCCCTGTATGGTTTTAGCTATGAAGTAATGTCTTTAATTGAGCTCCTACCTTATTTGTAAAGACAAAAGAGATGGGGGCAGCCTTGCTCAAGAGCTTTTGCACACAGACAAAGAAGACTTGTTTTCAAGTCACAATTATTTTACACAGTAATGTGATAGAACAATCTCTGGGTGAAAGGTTGATCTTCAGGGGTCAAAGATCTGCTCCCAGGTTTTTCTTACTGTTTTTCTGAATATAATTTCATAGTGCAAACATTTGGAACATGATGATATAAAAGCCAGTATGAAAGTTCTGCGTCTACCTTTTAGCAAACTGCAAATCTCAGCTCCAAATACCTATCTTTGTGGATTTGGAACCAAGAATTGATGCAGAACAAATCTTCACTTTCCCTGGTATCTTTTCTCTTAGTGCCCAACCCAGAGTGCCTAAGAGGACTACAGAGCATACACTTTTCTGGATGTCTTACTTTCTACCTCATTCCCCTCTCCTCTTTCTTTTTGCCTGAATCAGACCAGCAGCAGCTTCACAAACTCACCCCCAGTAATGTAAATGTCCCTACGTGGGCAGGAAAGCCTGGGATCCACCCCACCAGCAGTGAGTGGATGAGGGAGACCTCTGCTGTGCAGTTCTCCTTTGTGGTAACCCAGAAGCTCCCTGTTTCAGAAATAACCCATCTTTACCTCATCCAGCTTGCTTTCTGCAAGGTACTTAGATAAGGGAGACTTTTACTCATTAAGGCCAAGCTAACTCTTACATGGATTATTTTCTACTTTGAATTCCCTTCATTTGATCTTGAGAATTTCCTGGCATACCACTGAAATATGCCCTTTGCTGTTCATAGACACCCACTGATTTAATATTTTACACTGGATTTTTATAAAGGGCAGTCAGTGATAAATAATCTGATAGGCTTTGTATGGTACGTAGTGCTGATACCCCTTATATAAGAATTGTTTATCATATACAGAATTGCACTGCCTCCCTTAGCAGGAATCACAGGCATCTTCCCAGTGCAAAGAGCCATGTTTGGGACAGTCAGTGCCAGACCTCAGCAATACAACACCAGGATGTTGCTGTGATGGGGGACAAGAAAAAGACATTACCCAGGAAAGCTCATCAGAAGCTGCCTGTGTTAGGCTCTGTTGTTACTCTTTCACTTTTGGGATATGTATGAGGGACCCTGATCTGAGGACAAGGAATAGGGTGACTGGTTTGCAGCTTTACATACAGCAAAACATCAGCTCAAAGAGGGAGCTGGGTGCCAGGTCTTGGAAGGAGGAGGTGGAACTGAGTCACTTTGATTTGGAGTCAAGAGGATCTACCTGCTCAGCTGCAAACACCTCTTGGCAGCCAGACACAAAACGTTGTATCTGCATGAAAAATACAAGGCTTACAGGTTCTTCTGATGGCACCACTACTCCAGCTGCCCAACAAAACCACCAAGAGTCAGGAGGAGAGCAGTTGCATTCCTGCAGTTACTTTTATGAACAAACCATACAGCTGTCACTCTTACCTGGAATTACTATATGCAACGGTAGTTTTTTCCCACAGACTGATTGTTCTCACTTATTAATCATGCCATGCTTTCCTTTGACTGGAAATTCTCTCACTTCTTTCAATCTGCCCCTGTTTTTTCTTGCTTAACTGGTTTCACCCTGGCCTACACAAATATTGCTTTGTCTAAAATCAGGAAGCAGCATATTAAAATGAGGCCTTGCTACTTACAGAAGGAGATGTCAGATGCCTTACTGCATATCTTTTAGGACTACAAAAGCTGCAATGTGAACAAGGTTTGGCTGGAGTAGAAAGAATAGAAAATAAGATGAAATCTTTGACCCTCTGTGGGATGGCCGCCTTGATGCCAACAACAGTTCTTTGCTCTCTCTCCCCTTACTGTGGTCACTAGCAACATGTTTTACAAAAATTGTTTATCTGTTCTAGGCTGCAAACCATTGCTCTCAGCACTGTCAGGTCCTGCAAACCACAGACCATTTCTGATTTATTCTTCCAACACCCTGTGATAAGGCAAAATGTTATCATTCCCCTACCACAAGACCAGAATACTGGCAAAGGAAAACAGGATTTTGCAACACACTCAGGTGTAGGTACCTCATCCTCATTCATTTAATAATACTTTCCCTTGGTCAGTGAGGTTATCTGTGCTATAGCAGAAAGATCTCCAATGATTAAGGCAGTGACCTGAAACTCAAGTTATTCTTGCTGCACCTCACCGACAGAACAGTCTCTCCTCTTATTCTCTGTTAACAGGATTATAGTCTAAACCATGGGGCTTCTAAGAAGCAGATTGTTCCTGCTACACGTCTTGAAAGAGGCATACAAAAACACTCAGCTCCTTCAAGCATTTTGCTAGCAAACACCAGAATGGTGCAATTAAAGCTCATCTGAGTAATTGAGGGAAGAAAAAAAAAAAAAGGCGACCCAGGCCCTCAGCTGCTATAAATTAACTAATTTCCAGGGCCCTTAACAGAACTGTGTCAGCTAATTTTGGCTGAGGATTTGGCCTGTAACTGCTTTGTTCAGCAATACCGGGGCACTGAGTAAAGCAAGCAAGCAAGGAAGGGATAACTCCTGCCTGGTTGGCACTGGAAGAAGTATACTGCAGGGGCATGGCTTCAAACAGTCCTGCACAGCGGCTTCTGAAAGGAGGTGTGAAGAACTCCAGAGAGCTGAACGGTGGCATTAATAATGGTAAGATGTATTTAATTGTGCTGGAGGCCAGCCAGGTTGACACTGATGTTCCTGGGAATTCAGCCAAGATTTTTGTTGTTGTTGTTTGTTTCTTGTCCCATGGACTGGTTTTCCACACCCCTCTGCAGTGGGGGTAAGATAGCAAATGCTGTAGTTTTTAGGAAGCTGGCTGGTACGCTGGTGTGGCAGCCAGGGAAGGAGTGAATCTCATGTGCTTGCTTCAGAATCAGTATGGGTTCCTGAAGCATATTCAACATGTGTGCCCAGGCCAAACATTGTCTCAGGGTAGCTTGTGCTACTTGCCCAGTAGCACTTCCAAAGAGTTTTATGGCTCTGTAATCACCCTAGAGGTATACAGGGTTCCCTGAATTGAAATATATGCCTCTGACTGGTGGTAAGTGATCATGTGTAGCCTTGGGAAGCTGGGTTTCCTGTGTCTGTAAAGCTGGAGAATCAGACTGCTTCCCAGCTTACAAGGAGGTGGTGACAGTGAACTACCTGAGGGTAACTGGTAGGGAGTGGAAGGAGCAGATGTGTCCCACCTAAGTCTCTAGAACTTTACATCACGTTTGAATTGCTTTTTAGGATATTTCTCTGTTGCAGTTAGCAGAGCCTAATAGAGAAACTTAAATCTTTCAAAGGTAAATACCCCCCCAATCATCTCCTGACCCAAGGCTTCACTTTCTTGGAACTTTTAAGTCTTAAGTTATTTTTCCAGTTGCACAATAACTAGCAGCTGCCAGTATTCAGCCTAATGTATTAGTACAGAGATCACTGACCACGAGAAGGAGGGCAGATACCTAAATATAAAATTACTTTTAAGCAATTTATTTATCCCACGGGAATTGGATGCACGAGATTAACTCAAACAACTACCCAGGAAAAACTCCTTCACATTTCCAATCCTGCTCAAGCCCAATTATTGCAAAAGCTCCCACCTTTCTAGTAAACCAAACTAAAGCCTATATCCAAATCCCCATGCTCCAAAGTACTGAAACTCATGTCTGATTTTTTTTTTCTTTCTTCTGTCTATGCCTGTGACTCAAAGTTGTGTTTCACTGGCAATTCCTTCAGTGCAAGACCTGTTAAGCTCTGCCACATCCCTGAGAGGGTCAATGGCCTCTGATACACTGACTTAAGTATCATAGCACATGGTTTTCTGATGTATGCAACTAATGGCAGCAGTGGTGGACAGGAGGAGGCCAGGCTGGCAGTGGAATGAGTGCTGATACTGGCATAGAGAGCCATACCATGCCCTTTGCTGCTCTCTTCCTTTCCAGTCTCTGCCCACCTGTTGTCTCAAAATGTTCATCCTGATTTTTAGGCTACTTGGCATGGGGAGAATCTCTGTTAAACATGGCACAACTGGAGCCAAAGTTTTGCTTGTCTCCATCCACCACTGTCTTACAAAGGATAGCAGAAGTAGAGCCATGGCACCCTTCTGCTTGTCCCTAGAACTGCTGCAAGGTCCATGTGCACAGTGAGCCCATCCACAGTGGGTGGTGCTGGCAGGCTTGTACAGGATGAACAGCCCAGAGATACTCGGAGAATCTCTTCCTCTCCCTGCTACTGTGTGCCACACATGCCACAAGACATGCAGCATCCTACACACTGCAGTTCATAAGGCCAGTACTTTCCAATTTTACTGTTCCACCAAACTTAAAGGGTATCACCAATGACTTGGGCTGTTGGAGTAGCAGGGACTTGGCACAGCTGCCCTGCAAAGGAAGACCAAAGTCAAACCACAGCACTCCTACCATTCTGGTTAGCCCTGAGTACAGGAGGAAGGTGCACATGCAAAGTGCCAGAAAAGGTTTTTCAGCATCCTATAGAGGACACAGCCTGCCTAGCAACTCCTCTCTGGCTCCAGCTGCACCAAGGATGAAACCCTGCCATGCAGGACTGGTTCTGTGATGGGGCTGTGGCCTCCAAGTAACAGACTAGGAGATGATTGTCACCTTTTGAAGAATCTCTAGACAGCAGTGACTAGTGCACTGCAGTCAGACCCATGACCTAGAAATGAAAGGCTGCCTCTCCCATTCAGTCCTTGCATTCCCTCATTTTCCTTCCTTCCTTCCCGTAAAGACTCCCTTAGTTTTGTCACTGTGCCACATTCTCTAGCACTGCTGGCAGGACGGCTCAGGTGGTATTTCCCTTTCATTTCGAAGAGGTGGTTTTTTTTCTCACCAATGATGAGATCTCAATTTCCCAGCATTTAAGAGAGAAGGGGTCACTTCCTTTCTGAAACAATAGGCATTTTTTGCTGATGACTTTTCCCCCACGTGTGCTGAAGGGTGGGGTCGGGCGCTGGGGCCGTGCTGGCACCTCCTCAGCAGCCCCCACGCAGGGCCCGCGGCGGCCGTGTCACCTCCCGGGCTGGGCAGAGCTGTCCCCAGCACGGCCCCGTGGGCTCAGGCAGGCCTTGCACGGACAGGGCCTCAGTGCTCATGAGAACTGAATTACCCTTACGCTTCCAAAAACCCCAAACCAACCCAACAAACAAAGTCCCCACCCCAAAAAAATCAGTAACCACTACCAACTGACCTTCTGTGAGCAAAGTCTATCTCCACACAGCTTTGCCATGGATTTCCACAGGGTGGGGATCTCCTGATCCCTACCTGGACCTTTACTGGACTGTTGATCACAGTCCTGGCAATAGCAGAGGTTCTACTTGTCACCAAAAGTCTGCACACTATCTGCCTTCCCCAATGCTTTTTAAGCAGCATGCGGAGTGTGCTGCCAGATCTTGGGCTGAACAAAGCTTCTCCTAAATAATTAGGATAATCACAAACTGAACAATTTATACAGAAAGTTTATTACAGGGTCTGTAGTCTTCAGTGCACCAATTACAACTTCTACCTACAACAGCAGAAACTTGTGAAGGCATGAAAATCACTGTCAGAAGAAAGATCGGGATTTTCGTTGTTTTATTTTGTTTGGTTTGCTTGTTGTTTTGGGGGGTTTTCTGGAGTTGTGACTGAAAAATTCATTGCAGGGGAACATGCTGCCGTGTCATTTTCGTTGTTTTATTTTGTTTGGTTTGCTTGTTGTTTTGAGGGGTTTTCTGGAGTTGTGACTGAAAAATTCACATTTGCAGGGGAACGTGCTGCCGTGTTGTAACAGTATTTGCACAATAGATCCGATTCTCTAAACTTCAATTTATCCAGCTGGAGAAGTGAAGTGCACGTGGATTTCATGAGCATACATATACAATTTGATTTGCTCAAAATGTTGAATGCATAGGAATAGTTATGATGAAGCTGAGATTTTAGATAGTCCTTGAACAAAAAGCACAAAGTACTTAGATCCTTTGGCTGCAGGGTGGTCTCTAGAGTCTCAATGTTAGTTGAGTGTGTGAAGTTCCTTAGGATCGTAGTTTGGTAATGTAATGTGACCTGAAGTGTTATAGGTCCCCACAGGTGCAGCTGGTAATGATAAATCCATATAAAGTAGATGCCGAGAAAAAGATAACAGGGTTCAAGGACTCTGACTGAGACTCTCTGAGGAGACATTCATTGCTTTAGTATCTATGTTTTAGAAAAGAGGAGCTAATTATAGGTCTTTTCAAGCATTTGAGGAGGAATGAGAGGGAGATTGATTGATTGTTTACTGATTGATATAGTTGGGTGAACTAAAGAGGAAATGGATTTCCAAGTAGAGAGGCCACTTGACACTTTTACAGCTTGCGCTTATTCATTCCAAGTGACCTGTGAAGTTTTTGAAACCAAACGACAGGTCTGATAGATTAGTGACCTCTGGCAGAAAGTCCCGGGGCACAGCAGGTCCCTCAGACCACCTGGTTTATCAGTTACTTGTGTAGGCTGGCAGTCACCAGTTTTTAGACCAACACCTGACCCTGTTCATTGCACCGGCTAAAGTTCCCACTCTTTCTGCATTTACACTGCAACTTATTTCTTTGTATCTATGACCCCGGGGGAAAACCTGGCCAGGGATAATTTTGGTGCACAAGGATTAGTGCCCAAGTCCTCCCTACTCTGCAATGTAACCAGTCCTGAGGGCTGGGGGAGGAAAGAGGTTCAGCCCCCACAATCACCTATGGGTCTTATTTGTGAGATTTTGTCAGGGAGATGACAGCTGCCACTAAAGACCTGCAAATCCTTCTCCTTGAAAATCCCCACATGTTCCTCCAAGAGAAATGTTCAAAACCTTAAATAAAGGAAACAGTGCTTTGATGAGCAGCCCTCTATAACAGCAAAAGGTTATTTAGCACATAACTCAGTGATATGCCTGAGCAGAAAATTAAAACAATAGAAACAAATATACCACACATTGGCAAAATTGTCTAATTTAGATCTTTTCCTTGTACATCTGATCTGCAGGCTGCCTCATGGATTATTCAGCCAGAAATTAACTAGGAGCCTGGAGGCCCTTTGCAAGGATGGAACGTGCCCCCCAGGGATGACAGGTATGTAGTAATTCAGGTTTTATTGCCTATAATAAGCTTGGATAAACAACTGTTCAATAGCCCCAAAGACCAAGGCCATTTAGACACCAGTGCTTCAACTGAAGCAAAAGGAACTCGAGAATGGTATTAGAAAGGTCGCTGTTAAGCCATTCTTCATGAGCAGTCATTGCTGTCCCTTGATAAAACCCTGGTGAGCTGCTTCTGCTCAAACAAGGTAGCACTGGACAGGCATAACCATACTCTGGCATGTCTGAAATCTTTTATAGTTGCAGTGAGAACAAGAGCCAAGAATGCTATTTCTTAATACAGATGGCATCCAAATCAGGACATGCATAATATTTGGTGTCTTTTTCCTAGCTGAAATGATTAGAGAGTGATGTTGCTGTTTCTTATTTGGATAAATTCTAGCTGAACCTCTTTTTGATCCCTCAGTGCTCTGTAGGATAACTGTTCCCCCACCAAAGCTTTCACCTACCCTATTAAAAATACTGCCGTGTCTGGGTGGCGAGGGACTCTTCCATTTCCTAGCTGAAATGATTAGAGAGTGATGTTGCTGTTTCTTATTTGGATAAATTCTAGCTGAACCTCTTTTTGATCCCTCAGTGCTCTGTAGAATAACTGTTCCCCCACCAAAGCTTTCACCTACCCTATTAAAAATACTGCCATGTCTGGGTGGCGAGAGACTCTTCCACGTGGAAGAGCAAGCTTCCTTTCACCTCCTAACCCTGCCATCAGGTTTGCACTATATATCTTGGAAGAAACAAGATATAGATATAATGGTGGTCAAATTACATCCAGGGCAAAAAGGAGCAGTTTCCACCATAATGTAAAACACTCCTCAAACACCCTCCACATCCTATGGGGATGCTGGCATGTTCTCTCAGCAGCAGTGCTCTAGAGCCCTTTGTGTCATTGGGTAGCAGTTTCCAGACTGAGCCCAGGCAGAGTAACCTGCTTCAGCAGTCTTGCTGGCAGCAGCACTTAACACTTACCTGCTGGGGCACCTCACAGAGGCTCCAGCTCACACGGAGCTCTAAGTAGCTGCCCCAGACCAGGACAGTTGGGAAGCACAATCCAAGCAGAGAGTACCTGATGGTTCTCTGCTTGGATGCCCAAGAATGTCAGCTCTGATGACTCCATGGGAGCAATTGCTACAGTGCTCCAAGGAAACAGGAGTTTGGCATAAGGACGGAAAGTCAGGACCCCAGGAGGTATTACCACCCCAAACACATGGGTTTGCAACGTTTTTACCATCCTGCTGTTGCACTGCACGCCGTATTTATGCTCCGACAAACTCTGTAGCCACCTCTATGCCAAGCAAACCAGCCCCGTGCAGCCGTGCCAATGAGACAGAACCTGCCGATCTCGTTTACAGCTGCCACAAGCCAAGCTGAGTGGTAAACAGGGATGCCAAGAGAATTCTGCTACATGGGGCTTGTGATCTCAACGCCTGCAACTCTGGCTAAGGCACAAAATATAGGGACCCCATTATGCCTGGAAGAGGCTTACTGAGACCACATAATTTGTTTGCACAACAGGCTTTAAAAGTTATAGGTGATCAGCTGCAGGACTGTAGCTGCCTTTCTTGCCAGGGTCACCTCACCTGCACGGGCGGGAGCAAGTACAACCTTTCGAAGCCGCGACAATCCGTGTTGGGTACACTAGTCTGACTGGATAGGCTAGCCTAGGAAGCGAGCCGATGCCCGTGGCCCCGCAGCGCCGGGCGGAGGGCAGCCCACCCGCCTCACGGAGGTGCCGGGAGCAGCCGCTCCGGTGGGTGCCGGTCCCTCGGCAGCGCGGACCGCTCGGAGCCACAGTGCTCCCGCCTGCCCTGCTCCTCTCTCCCGAGCTTTGCCACGCTTACCAAGGCGAAATAAGCCCATTTTAAGAGGAAATGAAGCCGGTTTCTTAAGGGCGATCTTTGCCCCGCCGGCCCCGGGGCAGAGGGGCCGCGGCTCGGGCAGCCTTACCTGCGAGGGGACAGAGGCAGCCGGAGAGCAGCGAGCGCAGCATGGGGCCGGGCCGGCAGCGGCGCGGGGCCCGGGAGCAGGGCGGGCCGGGATGGGCTTGTCCTAAGTATCGTCTGCGGGGCCACCGAGGGGAAGGAAAGGGGTGGCGGGGGTGCGGGTTTGGGGAGGTGTTGGCTGGCCCCGGCGGGGAGGCCGACTCACCTCTCCTCCAGGGCGCTCCCAGGGTGAAGCTCCGATGCCAGCTGAACATCCCGGCGGCAGCAGCCGCCCTCAGGGGCGGGCGGGGCGCGGGGGCGGGGGTGCCATCGCTGCCGAGCCTCCCCGAGCTGTGCGCGGCCCCCGGCGGGCCCGGCTAGGGCATGGCGGGGCAGCGCGGAGCGGCAGCGCTGCCGGCGCGCAGGCTGCGGGCGGGCGCCCGGCCAGCAGTGACTTATAAAGGGAGCAGCCCAGAGGAATGTATCTCCTGTGGCTGATAAGCCGAGATGACTGGAGGGGTTTGAACTACCTTTGCAAGGGAAGAGAGGGAGTGAGCGGGAAAAATGGACAGCAGGGAAGAAAAAGAAAAATATTTCAGTACTTGCATAATATCAATAAACAACTCCCCTCTCTAGTGGCAGGGAAGGCTGGAATGTTTAGGGTGGGGAGGAGAGAGAGTAAAATAGCAGAGTAGAGTTTTTTTTCTTTTCGTGTTTTTTCTTGTTCTCTATTTAAATTGCATGTTATGTGTTCATAGTGGAAAACTGCCTTGGTTATCACTGGTGCTGCAGGCTATGGGTAAGAGGGGTGAGAAGGAAGTGTCAGGACTGTCCTGGGTGCAAGCTCCCATGGGCAGATTTGCACTGTCACCATACTGGAGTGAACTCCAAACATGCAAGCAGGCGTGAAGTGTTCTGGGATGCTCTGGGCATGATTGAGCCCAGTGTTGTCTTGGGAAATATGTGGGAAATTACTCCTAGGCTAGGTTCAAGGAGTAAAAGTTCCCTACAAAAAGCAGCCCCAAAACCTATATAGGGTCTCTGCTTGCTAAGAGAGCACCAGTCCCTGCATTGCTCCCCCCATCCAGACTTCTGCTGACATGAGCACTCTCAGGAGAAAATGTGCTGCTCCACCGGTTAAACCGGCCTAATTCCATGGACTTCAGCTGTCCATAGGATCAGTGGCCCCAAGGAGATCACAGAGTGGTGCTACAAATGCCATGAGAAAGTGAGTGAGAGGGGAGCTGTCAGGGGAGATCAGTCCAGTTACCCCATTGCTTTGCAGGTGGCAGCCTGCAGTCCTGTGCCTCTGCAGCACACACTTCAGGTCAAGTATCAACTAAAGTGAATTCACTTTTTGCTCTAGCAGTCACTGGAGTTTGTTGACTGCAGCTAGCCACAATTCAGAGGTAGGGTATCTAATTTGCCCCTTTCCCTGCCATACTGCTCTCATATTTAATTATTAAGTGCTCCCAAATTTGTGTCATCCACCAAAAGACACCTTTTCTCCTCAGGCTAGGAGGAATTTACTGCTCTCTCATTGCTTCCCACTGCAGCGAGATAGAGATTTTGGGGGCTGCATCTGATTCTCTTCAAACGCTCCATTATGCACCCAGCACCTATTCCTCCTTTTCTGGGAAACCCAAGAGTGCGGTTTGTTGTGTGGACCGAGCCAAGTTTTCCATGCTCTTTGGGCTGGTGAGAAGGACAGCTGTAGGTTCCCTTGGGAAAGGAGGTCCCTGTTTCCAGCACTGAGACAGTGCTGTGGTTAGTGCTGTGTGCTTGCTGTCTGACATGCTGCCGTGCTCGGGCTCCCCTCTCAGCTCCCAGCTGCGTAGGGCAGACTTAAATTATTAGAGCAGCAGAAGAGTAGTTACAGATGCCTTAACATGAATGCAATAGCACAGCCAAAGGAATTCTGGGGACAAAGAATTAGCCTGTCACCTTCAGCTCTGCTGCCCATACACCATTGCACTTTCTTTCTGCCATTGCGCTCCATTGTTTTGTACACTGCTGAGTACACTCCTGTACTACAGGAGACTCTTTTCTTTTAATAACTAGTTTGGAGAAGGAAAAAAGCTACAATGCTGATGTTTGTAAATAGCTTCAGACCAAAGTGTTCTGAAAAGTATCTCATTTGTAGTAAGCAAAATATGTATGATGCTGTCAGAAATTGAAGTTCCTAAGGAGTCTCAAGCTGGCTCTTTCTAAGCTTGGTTTACCTCCTTGTGTTCAACAAATGCTTGAGGCCAACAGAAATGACTGTGTTACCAAATATAATAAATAAAATAACCCACTGACAGTAAGCTTTTGAACAAAAATAAAATATCCCCTGGAATGTGTACAAGACAAGTACTCTAGCTGTGGGCTAGGGCAAACGTGGAATGAAAATGGCTGGCAATGAGCACAACACTTCAGTGCTCTAGGTACTCTCACAAGAGGGTGTGTTTGTGTGTATGAAACTGACAATTAAATTGGAAATGCCCTGTGTTGACACAATATATGACAATGTTCAGTGTCTAGAGGGCTCCACAAAGCTGTTGTTAGTTGTTGCATGTGATTATTTTTGTCTACACTTGAAAGTTTTAGTAGCATAACTGTGTTTTATGTATTTTTTCAACTCAGGTTATTTGCTATATTAGAATCAAGATGTTTTACTTTAATAGCTTAGCACTGAGTCAGAAAAATATTAGTATGCTTAGGACTTTTGTGCCAGTGTAAATGCATCTACCCAAAGGGAGATTTTACCATTTTGTGCTTGTATTATGAGCAGCAGTGAAACCTTCCAAAGGGTGGATACCACCAATTCCGGCCCTCATCAAAAACAGTCCACAGGCAAGAACAAAAGTAATGCTTGGTTTTGGTGTCCAAGCTTGAAAAAAGTGCAGAAAAGGGAAACTGATTATTAATGTGCTTTTAGGTCTAAACCTTGTGAACACCCTTGACACAGGAAAGATCATGTTCCCTGTGAATATTGAACCAGTTGCTGCTGCAGTACAACAAGGAAGGAAAGATGCCTCTATCTTGCAGCTTCATCTCTTGTCTGGCAGTGAGAGTATTGTCAGCTCTCACCTTTTTATTGGGAGTTTTGAGGAAGATTAACTCCTTTTCCTCAAAATCCAGTTTGTTAGTGAGGGGAGCTGGGGTGCTGGGGCTGAGCTGTGCATTGCTGTCCTGCAGCAGAGCACAAGGATGGGAAGGAATCAGCCAGGCAGGGAAATCGACTTGGGACAGCCTGGCCTGGGGATTGGGGCCACTGTGGCATTTGGCACACACTACATCTGCCCTTTCCCTGCAGCTGCCAGTCCTTGTGCTGGGTCTCCTTCCCATTCAGCCATGTGCTGAGAGTGTGGGATGTGTTCTCCAAATATTAACTGGGCAGGAAATTCCCTCTTCAGCTGCAGAGGATGTAACGGGAAGAGAAAAACCTCTGAGTCAGCATCAGCTTAGATTTTGATGGATGCATCAATTTCCTCAGTCATGAGAAAACACCCCACTCAAAGTCCACAAGTGTGGAAAGGTGTTGTTTCTCTAGATCCCCTTGGTGTACAGCTGCATCCTGTGTTTCTGGTCATCTCTGTAAACTTGGAGCTTGTGGAAAGCATCTTCAGAGCAGAGGGTACTTCTCTAATGTGGAGAAGTCAGGCACGAGCTCACAGGAAGCTGCTTGCAAGGTCTGGGCAAGGTGTGTTTGTACTACAATTCCCAAGTTAGGTATCTGGAAAGCAAGAGAGATACATTTAGTGGTGATTCCTAAAACTATTATTGTTTGGGCCATTGTGTTGTTCTCTCGTGCCCAAATTACTACTGTGCAATCTGAGATCTTTCATAAAAATGACTGCTACAGTGTCCACTGAGATGCTCTGCAGTTGCAAAGGAGGATGCCTGTCAAATATGAGCCTTATTTCAAAAAGCTCCCCAGAAGCCAAAATATGTAGTAGCAGGACAGATCCCTGAGCAGGTGCAGGTCTGCACAGGTGAGCTCTCCTCTGCTCTTTGGCTTTAGGCATGTCCCACATGCAAATAACTTCATCTCCTTCTGGCACAGCTTGTCTGGGAGAACAGGATTTTTGTAAGTAGTTTTAGAGCCCATCTTCTTTAATTTGTGCAGCCCCCAAAGCACAGGATTTCTCATGCATGGTGACGAAAACCACGTTCCAGTATCATTGTCACTGTGGTTTTCACACTGAAGCACACAATGAAATAACTGTCAACCTTTCATCATACATATTAGACCTTGTTTTCCATCCCATTCCCTGACTCCTTAGTTAAAGGCTGGATATGGACAGATTGCTTGATTGCCTCCTGGTTTGTTTGGTACACCTGCAGCGTGGCACAAAAGGACTCTGCAATGCAATCACCTTCTTGGCTTAAATATGTTTTCTTTCACTCTAGTACAAGCAAGGTTTTGGGATGTAGCATGCAGAGGGACATTGGATATCTATGTGACAGTGTGGGAAAAGGAGTGGATTTAATGTCATGTTATGGGGGTACTCAGCTGAGAAAGGACAGGGAGGATATGTTCTGTGCAGCATCTGTCAGGGTTCGCTTGGAGCTGTGCCTGATGGCTGATTGTAGGGGTTTTTTTTCTTTTTTAGGTTTTAGTTACTTTTGCCCAATCCACCATGCCAGCAGTGAAGTATTAATGTCATTTAAGTGAGGACTCACAGCACCTTCTGCATGAGGGTCTCAGCACCAGCCTGGGGGAATTGTGGGGCTGTTGCCCTGCTGAGCCCAGTGCCAGGTAGGGTGTGGGCAGGCAGGGCTCAGGGGAGCCCGTGCTGCCCCAGCCAGCAGCCCCTCACAGGAGGGACAGATCAAGGGGGAAAAAAAAGAGGTGTGGGTTCAAAGAGGAATGGCATGATAATTGCATTCCTATAAACAGAAGTTTCCAGAAGACTCCAGCTTCCTGTGAAATGGTACTCTTGCTAACTTGGCAGTGGCCCACATATGTACAGTTTGTCCAGGTGAAGGTTTGGGGTCACATAAGAGGAAGTTGTTTCACTGCAGTGCACTTATGGTGCAAAAAATAGCTTCTTGGGGTAGTGAGTGGCTCTTGACTCTGTTACGGGTAATGTGTTAACTCTTGCAAATCTTGTGTCTTGCTCCAGACACTTGGCATAGTCTAAATACATTTCAGGTTTTGCTCTTCCTTCACTTATTAACACTTAATGCTCAAAATGTGCAAACCCTGCCTGTACAAGCAAAACCCCTCTGCATCTTCTCTGCCTCTCTTAAGGATGCTGCTGCCGCAGGCAATTCCCCAATACATGAGCAGGAGAAAAAGTTGCCACCTAGCTCAGCACCAGTTCTGCTTGTTGGTGTGTCCACCAGCCTTTTAAGAGCAGAGAAGGTTCAAATGCCTGGTATGTTTGGATCCTGGAACAGGTATGTGATCCTCACTCCACCCTGCTGTGAAAGGACCTTGCTGAGCC